ATTACAAACAGGAATATATACAGAGAAGTAGAAAATGTTAGTACGAACAATCAGGTTTAGTAGTAATTGTCTGAACGCGACTCTGTTTCGGACTGCCTCTGACTCGACTGACTGACTCGCTCTGACTGATTGACAGACTCCTGACGGACCTCACTTCAGACTTCAGCCTGAACTCTCTGCTTCCTCTTGAGGCGCAGTATTTATTACGTATGGAATAGTCCATTATGTCATGGGTAAGGTCCCATAATAATTACAATATAAAACGATCACTGTATTTCAGGAAGAAAACAGTCCCCGTCATTAGACAAGGGGATATGATGGCCATGTGAAAATACTGTGCGTGTTTAAGCATTGTGCAGAAAAAAACACTGAAATAGTGATGGCAAAGTGAAGTATTTCATGGCCTTTAAGCCCAATTATTTACAAACATTTGGGCCTATTATGCAATTAGTCTATATCCAGATACGAAGACATCTAAGAAATTTATTATAGTTAAACACAAAATAGTTTTGTCCAACACCGGAAGCTGCCACAAACAACCTAAAAATTCTCGTCATGTTCTTAAATAACTTCGTCAGATCGAGGCTTTAACATGGATGACATGCGTGCCAACAAATTCGTTTAGAAATAACTCAACTCCCAGCTGTATACAACCGGTCGATTGCTAAAGCGAATGAATTCTGTAGATTTTAACGAGGATCATTTTTCTTCGAAAGTTGCAGAAAAACGCTATAGAATCACAAAGAACTGTACCAAATAGAAGAAAACCGTAGCACTTGACGTCTATCAACAGCAGGTAAATATAAAATTGATGTCACATGTAATTCGAAAAAAAGAATGATGCCATAATCAAGATGTTGACGTTTCACACTACCTTAAAAAATGGTTACGAAGGAATCCCCAATCAATAGTGGAAAGAGCCATAACATTTAGTGGACTTGAGAAACCTATTTTGATGAAAAAATGTTTTAAGAGAATGCTTTTTAAAAGTTTTAACTTACAGAAGCACTCTCAATGAATGCCAAATATTTCCTGATAAGGAAATGGTTAATATTACCATAAAATCTGAGTTAGTGTCGTAATTCTTTCGAAGGTGGCAGTTTATAGCTTAATAACAATAAAAATCCAATTCAACAGTTTATGTCTAAGAGAAACGTATTAATATTTAAAGTAAGTATATGTTGAAAACTTTCCCAACATCAGTTGGTTCCAAATTCAAAATCCACCACTTCCTATTTCTGGTCAAGTGGGGCCGAGGTATCTGGCCAGATGGTTGCGCCATGTTGCCTTTGACCGATCTCTAGTTTTTTCCACTTGGTGTTCACTTTGTCGTTCAAATAGTCCCCACCTGTTGTCACTGTGATGAGAGACATGGCCAGCCCATCTATGTTGGCCCTTTGACTTTAAATTGTTACATTGTAGCCGATTTTATTATTCACTTATTATTCACAATAAAATTGCTACATAATCGAATCCAAGAAGAAGGATCACCATCAGCTTTCAGACCAATTTCAAGCTCTACAAATCGCTGGCCGTATCCATCTTCCTCTACGAGTGTGAGATTTGGAAATTCTTGGTTGAGGTAGGAAAAAAGATCCTGGAGTTCGAAAAGAAACGCTTGAAAAATCTCTTCTGTATTTCCTACTACGAGAATAAAACTAATGTCTATGTATGCAAAGTCAAAAGTCTCCTACCGATATAAGTCTCTCCTTGTCATAATTAAGCGCCAAAAGATGACATGGTTTGGCCACTTCACACGGTATAACAGCTACAGCAAGACCATCATACAAGGCTCTGTTGAAGGTGGGCACAAGCGGGGTCGACAACTCAAGAGTTGGTCATAGCCTCATTCTCCCCACCCATGGGTTACCCTTTCCCTGCTAATTATTTTGGGAAAAACCCTTCATTTTCAGACGAATGTTTTACCTGTTTTTAATATAGTAACTAAGAAATTGAAGTACCCGAGCGGTGGCTAAGATATCTAGCAGGCATATGAGTTGAGAATTGGGCTCATTTCAAGCTCAGAAGGGCATAAAAAGAATCAAGATCGACGAATAAACACGTCTGAAGCTGGGATTTGTACCGTATATTTTGAACGTGTTTATTCGTCAGTGATTGAAAAAAACACTTTCGGTAAAACGCATATACACGTCAACGTCGGGTGTAGGGGCTAAATAGTGGGTACAAGTTATTGTTGTTCCCACAAAAATTGCAATATTTACTTGCAAAAAATGAATTTTTCTTACATTGCAAAATCTATTTCGACTTTAAATGACCCACTAAATGATGATAAGCGGTAAAAACAAAACAAAGCAAAATAAAACATTTCAACAATGAACATTTGTAAATATCAAAAAGTGCATCTGGCGTAATTGTTAGCAGAGCAAAAAATGAAATCGAGGACCAGAATTCATATTCCAGTTTGTGTTCACTTCTTACTAAGAGCATTGGAAAAGGTATGGAACTATCTATTCTCTTCAAATATGCGAGCTAAATAGTAGGGCAGACTGGCCACTCTAGCCTTAGTAGGTAAAAAAAGAAGGTAAACCCTGGAGAAAGCAATGGGATATCATTGTATTTCCTTTAATATATTTTTTTGTGGTACAGAATTTAATAATAGATAGGAAAAGACAACATTTATAAGGCATTTTTAAAAGAAAAAGCTAAAAAAAAACAAAACAGAAAAACAACCGGTTTTGTCCCAGGACTTATCCAGTTTATTTTTCTGGGAATAGAAAATTTAAAAAGCGTGTAAATTAATTTAAATTAACGAATGGAATAGAATGGAAGAGAAAAAAAATGAATTTCAAGAAACTAGAGTCCAAAAAACATTCAGACCCAGTAAGCATTCCCTCTGTTTACAAAGGGAAGGCCCACGGGATCTGATATACAAGGACTCTAGAACCTTGATGTGATATGAGGAGTGGGACCTAGATAAAATCGAGAAACGGTCCACACTAAAATTAACCACACATAGCAGAGCCAGAACTATTTGTTAGTTGGCACTTCCTGGCAGACGGATTCAAAATCCTGGGTGGTAAATGTTGTTTTATTCTCGAATCCAAACGCTGGGACGTCCTTCCTATGTAGTCGAGTCCACAACTACACTTGTATTGGTAAATCATAAACACACACACACACACACACACACACACACATATATATATATACATATATATGATAATATATAGTTTTAAGGTATCCTATATTTATGGGTTAAAGTGCTCAATATATCACGGATAGGGGCGTATGTAAATATGAAAGTGGACCTCTGGGTGTTGACTTCAATTTCACCTTTATATATATATATATATATATATATATATATATATATATATAGAGAGAGAGAGAGAGAGAGAGGTTGTTGCGTAAACAGTGAAAGGTGCAGTTCTTGAGGATATATGGGAGAGATATAGGTGGACCTGAGACCTGAGCAGGTGAAAATTGTATTGTTCGGGAAAGCATCCTCTTGTGAGTGGGTTACACAAAGTAGGGGTTCGTGGGAACAAAAGCTGTTGATTGGAAACCTTTAATAATGGAATACATAAGGGTACGCAGCGCGGCGCCACGGGTCTTGGCTGTGAGGATTACAGATGGTAGAACTCTAACCCTCAACTCTAACCCGCCGTGCTTCTATTTTTTTTATACTCACAAAGCAGATAGAGGGAAAGAGAGACAAGGGAAAGCAACGCGTGACATGTCTAGCGGGCTTAAGTAAGTGGATGGAGGGACAGGGTTTGGGAGAAGTAGAAAAAGAACAAAACATATTGAAAACTACAAGGGATAGAGGGAAGTGAAGAGGCATGATCGCCTACGTCCTGGAGGGATCACGGCACATAAAAGAAGAGTAACGGTGTGGGCATTAACTTTCAAAAGCTATGACGTAAATGAATTGAAAGATGAAAGGAATACTAATAAAATTAATAATATTTTTGAATGTTTTACCCAATAATAAAATCCCAAAAAAACTTTGTAATGGTCTTAGACTGGCGGTTCGAGTTGTTGTGATGAAAAATAACTTAAATTAATAAATATTAGTTAAAAATTATAATGGTAATCTTAATTCTCACATTTGAATTTTCCTTAAAAGGAAACATTCGGCATTTATTGACCGAGCTATCGGTTGAAATCTATATATAACACATTTTCTTCTCTCTATATATGATAATATATAGTTTTAAAGTATGCTATATAGATAGATTAAAGTGCTCAATATCAGGGATAGAGCGTATTTAAATATAAAAGTGGACCTCTGCGTGTTGACTTCAATTTCCACCTTATATATATATATATATATATCATTGTCAGTGTGTCACACTTTTTCAATTGAAGGGACAAAACGCTCAATAGCTCATCTTCTTCTATATAAAAATGCTAATGTCAGTGTGTCACTGTATCACACTTTTTTCAATTAAAGGGACATAAATCTCTAACATTCAATAGTTGCAGAAACTTTGGATTCACAAGTTTTCATTACTGCGATTGTTTCCGGCGACATTTTTACGTGATTTTTTGCGAAGAATTTTTGCACGATAACAATTTTTATAAATTGGAAATAAATTTAGTAATAATCGAAAATAAAAATAATTGTTTTCACGGAAAGTAAGGACCTGCGCACATCAAATTGTTTTTAAATTAAGTTGCGACAGAAGAATTATCGTCGAACTAAGGGAAGCTTAAATATTAATGCAATACTTAAATGCAGCGATCAATTTTGAGTTCTTCTGTAGTTTATTGTTGCGTATCGCATATGCCAGCAGTTTGCCTCGCAAAAAGAAATCTCCGCCAACAGAGGACCAAATTGCAATAAAAAAAAGCCAAGGTTGCAACGAGGAAAAGAAAGTCCCCTGCAAATGAAAACCCAGATGAAACGATAGCCATGAGAGCTTCCAATGCTGACAATATGAAAAAATATAGGGATTCTCAAACTTCTGAACAAGTCGAAGGTCCAATCAAGAGACCTCCCGCCAAGAGAGAAAAAGAGGGCAAAATAAATTCAACTACCAAAAAAAGAAAAAAGAAAGAAACTTTAGTAACGAGGAAGAAAAGAGTGAATGAGAGAGAGAGAGAGAGAGAGAGAGAGAGAGAGAGAAAGGGGGAAGAGAGAGATAAAATAAAATAAATACAGAATTAAATTCTAAGAGATACATACAAGGATGACACGTCGACGATATTCTTTCTCGCGTGGCTACTTAGATGAAAGTTTAAGCAAGGAGTGACAATTTAAATCCCTACGGCCGGATGAGATGGGGAGAGAGAGGAAAATACCTCGTGCCAACATTAACTTCTTGTAGAAGAAAATCATTCCAACACCTGTGAGCCACGAGTAAAAAAATAACATTCAATGTTTGTATGAACCCGAAAAAATCGCCAAAGACATAAGAAAGAGGGAAAAAGAGAAAAATAAATTCAATTAAAAAAAAAGGAATGAAAATAAAAAGTTGCACTGAAAACGACTGACAATATGCTGTAGTTGTTTATATATATATATATATATATATATATATATATATATATATATATATATATATATATATATTGTTAATTTATATAATATTTTTCTTTTCAGGACAAATTATATAAAAATGGTCCGAATGTTTTCCAAGAGATTTCAGCTATACTTTTAGCCATTATCAAGGATGGATTTTATTTTACTTTTAACTGAATATATTCATTATTTTATGTATGTATCTAGAGTTATAGGAATGTTTTATTTTTCAAATACGTCAGCACATTGTGGTCGCGTTTATAGTTGATATTACTGAGCGTTTTCTTTTTTTAATTAATAATGCTTCCATTATTTTTAGCCTTTTATGCATGTAGATGATACTATTATATTTGCATTATTAACAAGTATGTTACAGACAGAGTTTGGTAAGTCTCCATGTGTATTTAAATGAGACCTAATTGAGCTATGGTCAGAGAGATGTAATGTGAGTATTCTTGTTAAACACGTTGTAGTATATTCAATATAATTACTTACAAATTAGGATTGGTCAAGAACACAAATCCTTAACAGACATGTAAATTCGTAAATAATATTAAGTTTTATGTAATATAGATTCTTGCAGGTGAATTATTATTTTTGACGATGAGGTTAGCGGATTTAAATTTTTATAATAAATAATTAATATATTTGTTTTTATTGACTTTTATCATTTCACAGACACCAACACCCATATACCAATTGCCAAAATTTTTCAATGATATTATTACCCTGTATCTACCTACCAATTATAGCATCAAATCAACCGATGATTCCTCTCAAATCCTTCAAACTACAAAACTAAATCAAGGAATTCTAGCGTCACTTGACGTCAAAGATTTATTCATAAATGTCTCTATTGGCAAAACTGTAGATATAATCTTTAATTCCGTATATAACAATAATTTAATTCCACCATCATCCATGTAAGCCAATGATCGGTTAGTCGGTAGCTCTTTGTATCGAATATTGCATTTCAGTCCTGCAAGGGACTTAACGATACGGCCAAGTTGCATACAAGATTGTCGGTTACGAAACAAGGCTGCTGGTCTTAATGTAGATTGTTAGTCTTTGTTCTTGCCTTCCTTACATGTTGGGGGCGTCTAAGTTGAAATACTTTAATGCCATTATGTCTCTACTTTATTTTCGGTCCAGGATCATCTGCTCAAAAGAACTAATGGGGTACCCCGACAACTTCGAGATAACGCTTCAGCTTTTCTTTATATCGGAACCATATATTTATATATATAAATGTCCGTTTTTTTGCGTTATTTTTTAACTCTGTTAGTGACGCGCACATGCCGACGTTCGTTCGCGTGTTCATCAATTCGTTCAAGAGGATACTTCCAATACGCAACAGTCGCGTGTATGTTCATCTTCCCACGCGTGCTTTTATATATATATATATATATATATATATATATATATATATATATATATATATATATCATAATTACTGTAATTTTTAAAGAATATAATTCCATCGTTACACAGAAATTTCTATGTTTCAAAACCGAAACTAAATTTATAAATTTAATTATAAAAATAAACTTAAAATTCATAGTCTCGTTTCATTTTCAAGCGATGTTAGGGTTCCTAATTATCGCTTGACAATGAAACGAGGCTGTTATTATTAGTGTTGGACTGATTTTCGTCTTTCCGTGTGTGTCCGTGCTTGTGTGTTTGTTCACATATGTATACATGTGCGTGTGCAAGTGCTGTATGTGCATGTAAGTATATGCATACAGTGTGCATGTGAGTATGTGCCTAATGCCGGAGTTATATTAATAAAAGAAATGACAAAAGGAAAAATTTTCATGTCAACACGTTTCGTTCGTTTATTAATATGTTCTGTGATCAGAATTTTTATGCTCACACACCCCCGCACCCATACATACATACACACATACACACACACACAAACACACCTACACACACACACACATATATATATATGTTTAGTTAAAGACGAACGAATTTTTTACTAAAGATAGTTTTATATGTAAGATAAATTTCCTATGTCTGAGTGCATTCAGCTATTGTAGCCATTATCAAACGTCTATATATATATATATATATATATATATATATATATATATATATATCAGTGGACATTGAGGTCAACATGAAGCGGTGATAGTTTGTTTCAGGCCATATGTGTTGCATTTATATATGCTAGTCAAGAGTGCATTATTTGTATGTCTGTTGTATTACTTTTGGGTGTGAGCGATTCTAGGTATATATACATATATATATATATATATATATTATATATATATGTGTGTGTATGTATATGTATACATATGATAACATAAAAGAATACGAAACCTTGATCAATCTAACATTTTCAATTTTGTGTGGTTTGATTTTCAGTGGTCAGTCATGTATCACACAAAATTGAAAATACCAGCATTTCTGTCTGAATGAAGTGACAAAAATGTTACTTGATTCTCAAATAATTCTTAATAATTGATTCTTAATAAAAGTGGATAAAATTCTTCTAATTGATTCTTAATAAAAGTGGAATATTTTAGATTTTACTATTTGTTCTTTATCTTATCTTGTCGTATTACGGTTTACATTTGATCTTTAGCTTATATATATATATATATATATATATATATACATATATATATATATATATATATATATATATATATATATATATATATATATATATATATACACAAAAATATATATATATATATATATATATATATATATATATATATATATATATATATATCAGGATATGCTAGTATTTCTGGGTGTGTTTGGATACAAATGCTTGTCTTGAAGTGAAGACGATGTCAGGCATTCAAGAACGACAGTGTCCAAATAGATTATGGTAAAGAATACCCAGGTGGCTGACCAACATTCCTAGATCCAAGATAATAATTCCATGAACACAACGCACATCATAACCACACCAACCATTCCAATACCCGTAGCGGACACCCTGTTATCCGAAGCACTCGTCTTTTTACGAATCGTCGAACTGAGATCCTTTTTCGGAATGGTTAATTCAGCCCTCAGTTTGCTCATTTTACTTTTACTTTCTTCCTCTGTGAGACTTTTTGTCGGACCCCGACAATGGCACAAGCATTTGCTACTGAACGACGGTTCTAGGCTGGAAGACAAATCCTGGGATGGATTTGTCGTCTGGACCGTCGTGCTAGCACTGACCATATTTGAGCTGTCGTCGATGCTGGACGAAAAGCTCGCAGTACTGGTAACTGCTACGTAGGTAGATGTTGGGCTTATGGATGCCTGGCTGCTGCTACTCAATGTACTCGCTGATATTAAGTCGGAACTTTCGATGTTGGAAGTCGAGCTGATAAATTGAGAAGTTGCAGAGTGTTGATTCGAATCTGTAATAAAATTTAAGAAATATCAAGGCAAAATTTGAAAAAAAAAAATTCTCACATCAAACAGTAGTTTCTAGTATTGTAGTATTTTTTTTTGACTAATGGCTATATATGTTTTTTTAAGCATATCAATCCTAAACAAGCAGGGAATGCACTAGCACGCAAGAGGTTACAGAGAGTGAGAGCAAAAGTAAAGAGGGGTGTTTGAGGAAAGGATAAAGAGAAGGACGGAGAACAAGACCAAGGCATCAGACGATGTCGATTGACATTACATTTGAATATTTAAAGATTATAGCTGTCAGGGAAGTAAGTAAGAGGAAGGGTGTTCCACTGTTAGGAAGTGCGAGATAAGAAGCTGTTGAAGTAGAAGAGACGTCTACATTTAACCGTTTTGTCCGTGAAAGGGTGAGATGCTAACCTAGTAGCACGCTTAAATTCAGTTTGGGCACCAGTGAAAATAACCCGTCAGAGCCGTTGCCATGGAAATATTTGTAGAAAAGACAGAGGGAAGCCACGTCACGTTTGTGAAAAAGTGACTGTAGACGAGATGCCAGATCAGCACCTATCACATTGCATATCCGTCTATAACTTTTTGAATTTCTAGAATGAGAAATAATTATTTACTATTCTTTACATTCGAATAATGTCCCCATGTTTATTGTTATTATCATAATGTTTCGGCCGTTATGCGCTCCGACCTTCTTCAACTTCTTGTCCTTCAGGGAAATTCAGACTGAACAATTTATTTAATCTGTAGCGCCAGATTATCATCGTCCGGCTATCTATATCTAAATAGCATGTCTTTCCCACAGATGTACCGTTAGAAGACTATTGCTACTCTGTCTTGATTTTCATGGTATGTAATTGGACGAGATGAAAGTGTGGGGGGGGATATTAAGGGGACAACATTTGCTGATAGCTAGAAAGGATAGGAAGCTATGGAGAGAGATGACCGTCATCGCACATAAAAGGGAAATGTTCTTATTAAGCAGCAATTAATTTCCTTTATCAGTAGGACTAAGAGTGGCAGATGAAATGAAGCAGAAGTGAAAATAAATATTAAGTGATACAAAGGATAGGAAATTGTGGAGAGCCATGATCACCTACGTCCTGAAGAAGTATTGTACGTAAAAGATGATATATGACTTAAAATGGCAGAAATGTGATTTTGCAGAAGAAAAGCTAAAAATACAATGGACAGAATGTATCGACAAGGAGGGACATTTAAGGAAAATAGAAATGAAAAGAAGATTTATAATTAAAATCAGAAAGAGACATTTAAAAGTTCTGAGCCATATAATGAGGAAAGAAGGCTTGGAAAATATAATACTTACAGGAGATACTGAAAGCAAGAGAAGTAAGGTAAAAGATCGAATAGCTTAGAGCTGAAAGTGGGAGGGATTTTAAGGGGATAACATTTGCTGATAGCTACAAAGGACAGGAAGCTATGGAGAGTCTTGATCGTCATTGCACATAAAAGGGAAAGGTACTTAATAAGCAGCAATTAATTTTCTGTATCAATTGAGTGGAAGTGGCTAATGAAATGAACCAGAAGTGAATAAAAAAAGATGTGAATTCTTTACTCATAATATTTAAACTAATTGTGAAGATGCAAATCCAATTTAATCGTTTCTGTCTTCCTAATTATGAGAGAATTTATAATATTAAACACAAACCATTATCAATGAAGAAAGAGAAAAATAGCGTGAAATATAGTGAAAATTGTATATATATATATATATATATATATATATATATATATACACTGCGTTCCAAATTATTATTGAGATAACTTTTTTTATAATATTTTAAAGACCGTCGAATCAATTCACACAAAATTTTCACACAATGTTGGCAACACTGACCTGCGCAATCACTGAAATTTTCGACCTTATCTGCGGAATGTAAACAATCTGGCGCCATATTTGTTGTCAGCACGGTGATTTGAGCGTGCCAAATTATTAAAAAAGTGTAAGAATTTAGTAAAAAGATGGGTCATAAAAGCAGTTTAAGTAATGCTAAAAAGAAAACTATCACCTCAGAACTCTCAAAAGGTAAATCTACCCTAGAAATTTCTAAAATGATAGGGAGGTGTCATCAAACAGCGAAAAAGTTCACCGCCGACCCTACACAAGTATGCAATAGGCAGATAAAGGCAAGCCAAGGGTTATGTCACGTCGTCTCACGAGGGGCCACAAAGAACCCTGGACTTACCAGCCAAGAGCTTTTCAGCCGCATTGGGGATCCTACTGTGTCTAAAAGTACTCGGTGTCGGTATCTGAGGGAAATATCAACAAAAGTTAAACCTGTATCGAAGCCTCCGTTGACGAGAAATCAGATTCAAAATCGATTGAAATGGGCCGATGACAATAGGAAGATTGACTTCTCTAAAGTTTTGTTCACAGACGAAACTCGAGCAACACTTGATGGGCCAGATAGATGGTGCAAAGGCTGGGTAATGAACGGACAGAATCGCCATCAGTATTTGAGAAGCCAACAAGGCGGTGGAGGCATAATGATCTGGAGTGGTATTATTGGAAAAACATTAGTGGGCCCATGGAGAGTACCAGATGGCGTCAAAATGACTGCTGATGCATACATAGCGTTCATGAAGGAGCATCTTGAACCGTGGATGAAAAGGCAAAGAGTTGCCTTCAGAAGGGCCATTGTTTTTATGCAAGATAATGCTCCCTCACATGCTGCTCACAAGACTACTGAATATTTGAAACAGTTAGGCTTCGATGGACCTCGAAAAATGAAGTGGCCAGCAAATTCTCCGGATTTGAACCCAATCGAAAACCTTTGGAGCATCATGAAGCGAAGACTGTACGCCAACGGACGACAATTCAGGAGCAACGCTGAGTTGTGGGAAGCAATTCTTGACATATCTCGTGGCATTACAGCAGATGACATCCTGCAATTAACAAATTCTATGGATCGTCGATTTCTTCAAGTAATTTCAAAACAGGGAAAGCACATTCCCTATTAATTTGTTTAAAACTGTGCCTTTGTTTGTATCTGTTATTATTTGTTTGATTATCTCATTTATTAGCTTCTTTTGATCATAAACATTCACGTGTAACATTAATAAACGTTTTGTGTACTGAATTCTGGGATTTTTACTAAACCTTTCTAATAATTTGGCACGCTCAAATCACCGTATAGATAACAAATATGGCGCCAGTTTGTTTACATTGCGTAGATCAGGTCGTAAATTTCAGTGATTGCGCAGATCAGTGTTGCCAACATTGTGTGAAAAGTTTGTGTGAATTGATTCGATGGTTTTTGAAATATTATAAAAAAGTTATCTCGATAATAATTTGGCACACAGTGTATATATATATATATATATATATATATATATATATATATATATATATATATATATATAGATATTCAGTTGTATGGATATGAGTTTGTGACCCTGGGTTTCACGCTTTTGTGATCATCAGACAAACTGATTTATCTTTTAAAATTATATATATATATATATATATATATATATATATATATATAAGGCTCAAACACTAATATTCCATGGTTATAATTTATTACATTGGAATCGTAATCACGATCCAATTCATCAGACCTACAAATTTAACAGTATGAAAATAGCGTCCTCTAAATTCTTCCAGTTACTAAGGAGATTTTGTTTTTGATATTATTAGTTACTTTGTTTAAATAAATTCATTACTTCTTTTGCTTTGAGAAAGTCCACATTGGACGAAACGCGTCAGCAATAACTACAATTTTCCTATTGTCATTTGTATTTTTAAATATTGTCTTTTCTACAGGTTAACTCTGAGAAATTTTCATATATATATATATATATATATATATATATATATATATAAATTATTTTGTATGCGCAGTACTTAGTGGAAAGCGTTCAATATCAGTAATAGAGCTAACATCTTCAGTTGTATGGATATGAGTTTGTCACCCTGGTTTTCACGCTTTTGCGATCATCAGACAAACTGGTTTATCTGTTAAAACTCGATCTATCTATGCTAATAACAAAAAGAACCAAAACAAAAAAAAAACAAAAAAAAAAAAACAACAAACAAAAAAAAAACAAACAAAAAAAACGAGATAATCTCCCACTCCAGACGAGAGAGATAGAGAGTCTCTTAGAGTCTCAGACGTTAATTTTGCTTCAACATTCGGAGTAGATTCCAAAAACATACACCAACTGTTCGGCTGTTATTGAGAGCGTCCGAAGGGAAATAAATAACATTATATTGATATGAACAATTAAATATTTATATTCGGACTATTGTTCTCATCGTTGTTATTTTTATCACAACGTTTCAGCCTTCCGCGGGTGTATATATAACCTACAGGGAATTTCGAACTGGGCCCTTTATTTAATGCACAGGGGTAGCCTGTTCTCGTTCCATTGCCTATGTCTAGGGATATTTCGTCTAGTTCTTATTTTATTTACTATTGTTACGTTATTGTTTGCCATTTCCACTGAGTACACACTGCCCGTTCCAAAGATTGAACTCACAACCACTATGTTAACAAATTCACAAACCAACAATTTATATGCACTAGGACCCGTAGGACAATTTGGTGGAGTAAACCTAACCTTGACTGCTGATTAGGCTGCTACCGCTGCTGCTGCCGCTGCTGCTGCTGCCGAGGCTACTGCTGCCGATGCTGCTGCTGTCGATACTGCTGCTGGTGAAACTGCTGCTGCTGCCGATGCTGCTGCCGATGCTGCTGCTGGTGAATATGCTGCTGCTCTCGATGTCGCTGGTGTATCTGCTGCTGCTGGTGGTGTATCTGCTGCTGCTGCTGTCGCTGGTGAATATGCTGCTGCTGACAGATGTTGAACTTGCTGAAACGACCGAAACATTGTGATAAATTTAATAAAGTCCGAATCTAAATAGTATAAATAACGATAACTCCTCATATCAGAAATTCAGGCCAAAATTAAGCATCATGATTTTATTTTTCTACCCCACTTTTCAATGAATATTCACTTTACATGAATTCACTTTTTCGAAATATTGAAATTCGTGTAAACTTTTGCTGCTTTGAGAAAAGGTTTAAAGAGAATAAGTAGTTACCATTAATTTATATAGAAAGATTATTTGAATATTCCCCAAACCCCTCCCCACACCTAAACATAAGTTTCTGTGTCTATTTGCTACGATATCGAATAATTAGATTGATCCGGCTGAAGTACAATAATATGCTTAGGATATCGAATTTACAGCAGACAATTACGACTGAACAGTGAGTTCGATCCTCACCGGGTGCCCAATAATTTCAGCCTTGTCCCGCTTCTAAACTTCGCTTCAGAAAATCATCATACGGCATTCGAAACTTCCTGAATATCTACGTCAGCCTACATTTATTTTCGAATTTAAAATAATATTTTATCCCAAAATTAGTAGCACCAATCCGCGGGGCATCCCCTTAGCCGTGGACCGTACCGGGCGGAGCGTTTGACTGGGTCTGTCAAACGGTAATGCATGTGTCCGAATGCGAGCTCAGCGAGGACGGAAACCTCGTGTAGAGCAAAAGAGCAAAAGCCCAAAAGCTTACACCATATCAATTAAAAGTAACCATTTATTCGCTTTACGCAAGTTTCCTTAGGAACATTTGATATTTTATTTTACTTCAACGACATTACATTCACATCTGCGGTGTTTGAGAAATTATGCTCCTTACATCTGGAGTGGGTGTTTATATATCTAAAAAATTAACAACAATACATATTTATAGCAAAATTACCTACAATAAAATTCTAAAGCAAAATGACCAGCAATACATTTTTATAGTAGAATTTCCACCAATACATTTTATAGCAAAATGACCAACTATACACTTTATCAGTAGTTGAAGGCTTAGAATTGCGTTTAAAATATATTCACTTAAATCCATAAAATTGTGTTCAAAATATTTCAATTAAATTTCGGCATTAAATGACCCATAAGGTGTTGATATGCCGTTAAACAAACAAACTGCTGACATATATGGTCTGGTGCCTCCGCTGTTTGTCTTAAGGTCCTCGACAAAATCCAGAGACGGATATACGATGTAATTGGTGCTGATCTGGCATCTTGACTACAGTAGCTCTCTCACAGACGCGCCGTCGCCTCCCTCTGTCTTTTCTACAAACACTTTCATGGGAACTGCTCCGACGGGCTACTTTCGCTAGTTCCCAGACTGAATGAAATTAACCGTGTCACTAGGCTGGCATCTTGGTTCCACCCTTTCACTGTCGAAACAGTAAAATGTAGCCGTCTCTTCTACTCCAGTAGCTTCATGTCCCGCACCTCCCGTCTGTGGAATTCCCTTCCTATTACGTCCCTGATAGCTATAATCTCCATCTATTCAAATGTAATGTCAATCGTCATCTCCAGATGTCTTGATCTATTCCCTCTCCTTCTCTTCATCTTTTCCTCTAACACGCGTTTTTACTCTCCTTCCCACTCCTTGTAACCCCTTGCGTGCTAATGGCATCCCGCCTTGCTTGGGGTGAAAAGCTTAAAAAAATGTGTGGCTAATACTCATTGTTCGGCTCTAAGAACTGGATAGCGGTCTCTTCATACTTTAAAAACGATGAGAGTGTCCAGTAGTGTGTGTATATATATATATATATATATATATATATATCAATCAACAATTGAATAAAAAAAATCAGTTATACTTTTCTTATGTGGCTTTGGTAATTGATTAATATTTTGATTAATAAATTCGATATGCAAAAGAAAAACAAAAAGTACAATCGAAAAAGCTGAAATATTTTCACTTACTTGATTGGTAGTCGCTAGTGCTTACAATTTGTGTGCTGGACGAAGATGTCGGGCAGATACTAGGCGTGTCGGATCCCTTAATCAGTTTGTACGTCATGACTTTGATCGCTAATGAAAAAAAGAACAAAAATATTTGTAATAATGAAATTTCAGGTGGCCAATCGGTGAGCAATAACCAACCACTCGATCAAATTGTTTGTGAAGCAAAGTAAAAAAAAAAAAAAAATGAAAAACGCTTAAGAGCTTAATTTCAAAACCAACTTGCAAAAATACAGGTATTTTAGAACTTTCTGAAAGTTCATTTTACAACATGAAAGACCTATATTTGTACAACGTTCCCCGATATCCGAATAGACGTAAAGTGAAGACGATTTTTTTTCGTTCTCATACCTTCCAAGATCATCTTTTATATCTGCCAACCTCGAATGTCAATTGTAGCTAATATCGAAGACTTCAAATCTCATATTTTTCTATTATGCAATTCTTTGTAGATATCCAAAATATTCTGCAAAACTGCACGGAACTTAGGTGTGCCATTTAAAAATTATTTTTTTTTTTTGTTGCATTCATCACAGCACCGTCAATTGATTGGTTGGTTGATTTTGTTTTTATTTAGTGGCATATCAACTTCTATGGGTTATTTAACGCCAAAGTCTAAATATTTTGTAAGCAATTCTTTTTTGGGATATAATAATGGTTTTAGTGATACAAGCTTTACTAATTAACCATTAGCTGGGGGTAGAAAAGGTGGATACATACCTTTCTAAAGACTATTTACGGATTAGTGAAAATAACAAACCCAAAGGAAATCGGAGCTGGACTCTTTGATCAACAATTTCGACCTGTTATTCATTACATTACACTCGTGTCGAAACTTACAGCAGCTGGTATTCCCAAGCGGTCACCCATTTAGGTAATGACTGGGTCCCAAGTTGCTTAACTTCGGCGATCGTACAGGAACCGGTATTTGAATGTGGTGTGGTCGTAACTCTGTCGATCGGAGTGAAAATATCAGGCAAAATTAATTTCGTTAGCTAGTTACGACTGAATAGCGAGTTCGATCCTCACTGGGTGCCCCATATTTTCGGCCATATGCCACATCTAAGCTGGGTTAAAAATAACCATAATGGTGTTTGTTTTTTGGATTTACGTCATTTCGACTTGCCTAAGGTATTACAGGTTGAGAGAGAGAGAGAGAGAGAGAGAGAGAGAGAGGTAGAAGTAGTCAAAGAGAGGGGAAACGAAGAAAAAAGAGAAGGAAAAGGAAAATAGGAGACGAGAGAAAACGTAGAAATAAAGAAAGAGTGAGAGACGAACAACAGAGAACAAAGGAGAAACGTAGAGAAAGAAAGTGGAGGCAAGAGAAGAAGAGATAATAAAGAGTAAAAGCTGCGCGGTAAAAATCAGTAGGGAGTGGTAAGGAAGAGAAGCAGAGAGATAGACAGAGAGATTGTAGGAATAGAGAGATAGCTAAGAAGAGGCAGCAAAAGAGAAAGAGAGAAATCGATAGAGAGAGTTAGAAAGACAGAGTATCGTAGTGATAGGAAGGGTAGTTTCCTTATTGTAGTGGTGGGAGGAGAAATCCTTTACTTCAGGATAGAGAGGATGAAATGCTTCCGGATAGGAAGTGGAGAAAGAACCCCTTTTTTCCGAATGGGTGGTGCAGAGGAAAACTGCATGTTATAGTAATCCTCTAAACAAGGGAGAATTTTGGCTTTCAAATTTGTTGCTTTTAGTCACTTACATTGGAAATTATTTGACTACAGGAATGCATTAGAATTATTCATTGAACGTCAAAAATTTCATTCACTCTAATGATTGCATATATAGTCATATAGCAAATAGTGCATATATAGGAATTTATTGGTAATTTATATCTATAGGAATGTGTTGGAATGATTTATTAAACAAATGCATCCAAACTTTCCCACTTATGATGTAGAAGGATACAGTAAATTCTGATGCGGATGAGATGAAAATGAAACACAATGTCTGCATTTGTACCAAGATTAAAGATTCGACTTCTGCGAGTAAAACATTGATTCTACCTGTGGTTGGGAACACCTTTGGGGAGATGTTGACCAATGCTGTCATGACAGATTTCCATAGCTTTTTGACATTTATTGGTGCAGCATCTTTCGTGTGAATATAGCTCTCCACTATGTCCTATGACAGTTCGAATAAGCTCCTTTCGGACAAACGTGGTGGTCACATTGTCCGGTTAAAAACCTCTAGAATGCTCCTCAAATCAAATCATGGACCTGATGACACGGTGCATTAACCAGTTGAAATAAGTCATTGGTATAGAACTACACTAAGTGAAGGGATGGTTGTAAAGAGCACACTTTGATTGCTATAGGCACGGCATTTCGACCAGTCACCGCCTGTCTATTTTTAGTTCTTCTTTATCATTAGTGTATATGTTATATACCATTGCCATTCAACAAGATTTCAGAACACAATTGATATCTGTCTGGGCATTTCCGTAACGTTTAGGTACGGTAGACATTATGATAATCGATACACTTATATACAAGTTCTGAATTAAATCTGATGAATGAGAATATAAATCGTCGAGCGTTAATTACACGATCATCTCCTGAATTTATTGAATTTGTAGGTAATCGGCTAATACATAATTTTGGCAAAATAGTAACGGCCCTAGTCAACTCTGAATTGGTTAAATATCTCACATCACAGAGTCTTCTTTCAGATAAACAATATGGCTTTCGATTCTCTAGATCAACTGCTGAAATTATCGCTAAAAGGTTCTATGAAGCTTTACATAAGAATATCTCAAAGGCATTTGACAGGGTTTGGCATATTAGACTTCACAAGTTAAAAGATAACTTTCTTCTGTCTTCTTAATTTCCTCTCTTGAATTATATTTTTCCTCATATTCACTAACCCCTTTCACCTTAGTGGCGTTATTGCTTTGCTTGGGGTGAAATGATTACTTAAGATGCCATCACTCCAGTGAGAGGAAATCCTATTAGTAAAAGTTTTGTTTGTAGCAGTCATTATTAAATGTGAAGTAGTATTGATTGGTGATGAGACGGCCGATTTTTTTTTATTGTTTTAGTTGTTGAATAATAACAATTATTATGGACATTTTGAATCATTTCGATCATAGAATGCATTTCCCCGGTGAAAACAACAGGAGTTGATCCGGAGTTCGAAAAAGGTTAAACCAGCCCTAACCTCCATAAGAACTTGCCGTGAGTCAAACCAGGTATGTTACTAAATCTGATGTGTATTTTCAACAATCAACATAGATAACTTTCCCATCGTCCCGTTTTTACTCGTAGACCCTAGAGAGGACTTGGTAATGAGGCGCTTAAAATTCTTCGCTGGCAATATGAGACCACACACACACACACAATAATAATAATAATTAAGTATTTCTGATCCATGCGGCTCTCTTTCTCACGCTAATAATGATAATAATAATAATAATTAGCTGATGCTAATTATTATTATTATTATTATTATTAGTGTATATGTTATATGTTATCATTAGTGTATATGTTATATGTTGCTTATTGCGATTCAACAAGATTTCAGAACACAATTGATATCTGTCTGGGTATTTCTGTGACGTCTAGGTATGGTAGACATTATGATAACCGATACAGGAGAGTGACTCATTGTGTATTCTCAGATTAACATATTTCGCTGACAAGAAGTGGAAAGGTTTTTATAGAATCAATTGCGACATCTGGGTAAGTTAGTTCATTATCTGGTGCTATACAATTTTTCTTGCCAGAATCTGTCTTACATATCTATAAGTCTATCATTTATCCTTTTTCTGGATACTGCTGTCACATCTGGTTTGGTGCTCCTACGATATATTCAGATATTCCTGATAAAATCCAAAGAAGAATCTGCAATGTTATTAGTCCTGACCTGACATCTCAGATTCAGTCACATTCTCACCGCAGTAAATTAGCCTTCCTGTACATTTTCAATAAATGCTCTCACGGTAAGTGTTCTGAAGAACTTTCCTCTTTGGTACCTAGATTTTATGAATTTAAGCGTACTACTAGATTAGCGAAAAGGTCTCATCATTCTACAGTTGAAATGGCTAGATGTAACCGTAAGTTCTTTGACAGAAGTTTTCTTTCTCGCGTGTGGAACTGTCTTCCGGTTTCTTGCGTTCAAGTCAACTTTGATCTTCAAAAATTTAAATGCAATTGTCTTCTGAATTGTTGTTCATTTATAGTTCTCTCTCCTTTATAGTGTTTTTTCTCATATTCTTTTACTCAGCAACTCCTTGCGTCTTAGTGGCTTTATTGCCTTACTTGGGTTGAAATGATTAAAAAATCCATAGAGAAATACAAGGAAAGAAAAGGACAGAGAAAAAAGAAAAAGGAGGATGTACAACGATAGAATGACGTCATTATTACGTCTGGATTTAGTTACATGATTGTTATAGAGAAAATTACTTTTATTGTTTATTTTTTTAATGCGGCATGTTTGTCTGGATTGGAGTATTTAATTTTACAAGTTAAATACAGGAGAGCGTCATCGCCTCTTCTTTTTTCTTTCTTTCACTGAAACCAAGTAGCGTCTCTGAGATTCTTTTTCCGTCTTTCCTCTCGATCAAAACAGACTAGTCCATTATTTATGAGGTATTGCCAGGGCGTAACGTAGGTAAGACTAGAGAACTAATGAACAACTATAATAATAATAATAATAATAGATGTGGCGCACAAGGAGATCAACAATTCCAGTTGATTGATCAATTCGTTGAATTGATTGGAAAAGGTTCGATTGACTCACTGAAGGGATTCCTGGTAGTCCAAGCCTTAAAGAAATACAAACAATTGTGCTCACAAGTGTGATCTACACCTCACTTTATATATGTAAAATATGTGTGATGGTTTTTTTTTCATAAAAAAAATACTGAATGGAAAATGTCATGATGCCATTTCTGTCCTTAGGTCTCTGGTTGGGACCCGGAAAGAAATCAGGAAACACCAGAAATCAAAGAAAATGAAATAAAAATAATAATAATCAATATTAATAATAAACAAAAAATAACGATAATTAAATAGATATTTTATAAATATATATTCATATGTATTATAAATATCTATTCAAAGTTAATATTACTAGTACTACTACTAGTACTACTACTACTACTAATACTACTATTACTAATAATATTTTGCCTGAGTAGTTAGAGACTAGCCAGGATTGGATACTAAAAGCTGCTCTGTAGGAAAAAAAATACTGGGGAGACAGAAAGCCTGGTGTACTACCGGAAGTGAATGACTGGAAAATTAATGCATGGAAGCACAGAGCGTTTGCACAAGAAACCGGAAGTGGCAGATCCGGATCATGGAGGTTGCTTAGGAACAAGTTCTCGAAGAAGCAAACCTAAATGATCTGTGCAGTACATGCGTTATGAAGAACTTTCAAGTACTCTATTGACAATTTACTTTTACGTAGGACATATGGGAAAGCTACTGAACACATTGTCAGTGGCTGCACTTAGCTGGCATAAAAAATGAGTCAAGACAACGACATGACAAAGTAGCGTTCATAATGCATAGGAAACTCAACAGGAAATATGGTCTTGTGTGCGCAGAGAAGTGGTACGTGCAATCACCATAGTTAGTTGCCGAAAATGAGCAAGTGAAGCTCATGTGGGACACGACCATTTTTTCTAAAGTAAGGTTCACCCTGTATAAGGCCCAGGAGCCACTCGATGTAGAAGGATATGATAACGGGTAATTTATATAACAGGGGATGATAGCGGTTAACTTGAACAGATTAAGAATATAGTGATCGGGAAAATATCCTTTAGGGGCCCTGTTCCATAGGGTAGGGGTTCGTGAAATACGGAGGGCATGTGGGTCGTTTGACCGTCCTGGGTAAGACGATAAAATACATTCGTGTCCTGGGTAAGACGATAAACTACATCCAACAGTAAGATCTATGATCTTGAGGTTTTCAGTAGCGTGGAACCTCCTATTAATTGTTGGTGTTCCCTGGTCCATACCGACCCACCTGTTAGGGTCCCAGCTATGGGCAATTATTTAACCCCCAAACTGGGGTCAAAACACCATGGAAGTGTAAAAATAGGTTTTAATACCAGCAATACCTTTTTGTAAAAAATTATTACCAGCAATGAAATTTTGAAGAAAAATTTATTACCAGCAATACATTATTACCAGCAATACATTTTGGGAAAAATAATAGCGGCAATACATTTTTGGAAGAAAATATATTACCAGTAATACAGTTGTGGAAAAAATATTACCAGCAATATTTGTTTGCATTAAATAAGCCTTTGATGTTGATATGCCGTAAAAGAAACCAAAGCAAATCAAACTGTCGTTTGCTACTATGCAAGTGGCATGGCGACTCCTAGCCGGGAAGATCAGACCTGGTGGAAAATAAAAGATGCAGTTCGTCCGAGCACTTTCCATGGTAGTAGAGATAGAACAATGAGAGACTTGCTTTATTAACAAACACTCGGAGAACAATCAAGCAAGAGCAGTCGTGAATGGATCCCGATAGGTATTTGTTGTACCTTGGGATAACAACATCGTGAAGGCGGAGCATGTGAAAATACAGAGGTACCATCGGAGTATGTGAAAATACAGAGGTACAAAGATCTGGCAGGGAAAATCTGAGAAATATACCAAGAATCAGCGGAAGTTGTTCTTTTTGTGGTTGGCGCACATAGCATTATTTCCAGGAATTTTTCTGTGTGGCAAAACGACTTGAGGTTACCTGGCATCATTGGAAATGTGCAGGTTGTCGCACTACTTGGAATAGCTTATGTACTAAAGAAAGTTTTGCATCTCTTAGCTGTTGATAGGAGCTGATATATGAACAGCACCGGCCGAAACATATAATAGTAATAATAATGATAATAACAATGATCAAGTAACGCAATGATATGAGCCCAAACCAGCCATAGCAAATACACAGGAAGTTTCAAAGCAAAATATTACAACCATATATTACCTTTTTAAAAACAGTACGAAACTTATTAATTACATATGGGAAATTAAAGAAAAAATAACAAGAGTCTTATTGTGAAATGAGATGTAGCGAGGAAAATCCGTGCATTTGGTATCGGGAGCAAAATGTGCAAGTTACGCCAAGAGGAGAAGTTGGCAATAATGCAGTTTCCTGAACAATATAAGCTGCTCAATGAATCATCGGAGGTAATGACGGCGTGCAATCAAGCTAGAAAGTTCCTCCTAGAAATATTCGCCAGCGGCATATATATATGGCCTGACGATTGCATCTAGCATGAAACAGACTGTCGCCTCTAAGTGTTGACTTCTATGTTCACTTTTATATATATATATATATATATATATATATATATATATATATATAGGTGTAAACTATAAAATCCAAATTAACCTTCAAAATTTGGATATTATGGTTTACTCATATATATATATATATATATATATATATATATATATATATATATAGGTGTAAACTATAAAATCTATATTGTTTTGTTTTACGGCATATCAACTTCAATAGGTTATTTAATGCTGACAAAATTTTTATTGCTGGTATTTTTTTTTTTCAAAAATGTATTGCTGGTAATAAAATGTACTGCTGGTAATAATTTATTGTTAGTAATAATTCTTCCAAAATGTATTGTTGGTATTGAATCCTATTTTTATACTTTCATAGTGTTTTGACCCCTAATCGTGGGAGGGGATTAACTATTTGCTCATAGCCGGGACCCTAACAGGTGCTACTGCCCCTGTGTCAGGGTGGACAACAGCAATTATGCAATAAAATTGAGAAAATGGCAATAGAACCTATAATAGAGATAAACATATAAGTCATTGTATTAGAGAGAGAGAGAGAGAGAGAGAGAGAGAGAGAGAGAGAAAGAAAGAAAGAAAGAAAGATATTATCTTTCTGTGTTTGCGTCTAGGTATATACCACAGTAAAAATATTTAAAGAAACAGGTTTTAAGAGAGTTTAGTAAGTAAAACTAATTAAACTGGCTGCAACAAGACGTTAACTCTTCTATAGGGTCAGTCAGTTAAGTGCCTGTTGTAATGAAATGTCCCACGCTCCCTATCGTCTATGTAGATTGACTATCGGTAGCTATATATAATTATACCTAGGGTTTGTTTCGGCAATTACTTGGAGGTTCGTCTCCAGCTTTCCTGGTCGAACTCTCTGACCGAAGGCAGAGAGGAACCCTGACGTAGCTATACCGGATGGCAGAGTTTCGTCTGGGGTGGTAGACAGCTACCCGACCCCGTGTATACGGGGTCTATGGGGAATTTTTGCCTGAGCCTACCGGCTCGGTTTTGATCCACATTAAAAGACTGTCTTGTGCATCATCCTGCCTCGCGGGATTGGGGTAAGGTAAATATTCTTGCTTCGGCAATTAGTCGGAGATTCGTCTCTAGCTGGTCGAACTCTCTGACCGAAGACAGAGAGGAACCCAGAAGAGGTTGTGCTGAAAGGCAGAGTCTCGTCTGGTGTGGTAGACAGCTACCTGACCCCATTTATACGGGCTCTACGGGGAATTTTTGCCCGAGCCTACGGGCTCGGTTTTGCCCCGCATTAAAAAACGGCCTTGTGCCACTATCTTCAACGTGGAGAAGTAAGGTAAATATCCTTGCTTCGGAAATTACTAGCCTGCCACCCGATTCCCTGTCTTTCAGTAGTGTATTCTCTTTTACAATAAACCTCTCTTTCTTTCATCTACGTGCTTGTTGCTGTTCCTTCATTCGAGTACTAACTTTGTCTGTTCGTAACATCTTTAAGGATAAAACAGTGCCATAAGTGATACACGTTTGGGCGATCATGTATCTTTCGATACATGACTGACAAGGCAAATTTTTCTGCAGTATGATACGGTTTCTTTCTGCGGTAGATTGGTTGCTAACCAAGGATAAAGAACCCAGTCAGTCCTACTGTTCAAACCATAAGTGAAAGGAGAAGTTGGATTCATGCCTTTCCCAATGGTATTTTGTACGTAAGTGAATCTAATGAACTCAACTGGAATTCGAACTTGACTCTTCGAGTTTTCTCTCCGAGCCAATATCCATTACACCACACCGAATATTCACCTTCTATAGGGTGCACATTCAAAAAGCGGCAAAGTCATTCTTCGAGAAAACACACCACCTCTAATTGGTCCATCTCAGTGGCCCCCTAAAAGGCCAGATTTAAATGTTATGGACGACTGCATCTGGAGTATAATCCTAGCTCACTTGCAAAACCGTTGTGGTGACATCGTCGATATTGATGCATTGAAGCGGAACTTAACTGAAGCTTGTAATTAAATTCCTCTTGGCATTATCCGCAAAGCTACTGCCTCCTGGTTATTACGCTTACAACTTTGAGTTGAACATTCAGGCAAACTATTCTAACATCAACGATGAGTGTTCAGTTTGAGCATGAATCATGATAGGTAAATTTCTTTGTGAATTTACTGGGCACCCAATATATATATATATATATATGTATATATATATATATTGGGTGCAAATACTCTTCGGAAAAGTGAATCGAGTTTTCACAGTCACTGTGTGTGTTTATCTCAAAATAAATACGCTTAAATTCACCTTCATCCCTGCCGTGCGCCAAAGGCTTAGCGGTAGAATCCCTGAATGACGCCAATTCAGCCGGGTTTCGATCCTAGCTAGAGGCAACCGGACGTCTATCCACACTGATGAGCTGTGATACAGCAAAACAGTCTGTCTGTGGAAGACAATATATATATATATATATATATATATATATATAAAGAAACATAGTCTTAAGGTGTGCTATATTTATGGGATAAAGTGCTCAATATCAGAGATAGAGCGTGTGTAAATATAAAAGTGAACATTGAAGTCAACACTTAGACGTTTCATGCTTGACGCAAACGTCAGGCCACGATGCGTCTAGCATGAAATAGACTGTCGCCTCTAAGTGTTGACTCCAATATTCACTGTTATTATATATATATATATATATATAGAGAGAGAGAGAGAGAGAGAGAGAGAGAGAGAGAGAGAGAGAGAGAGAAAGAGAGAGAGAGAGAGAGATGTTACCCAGTAAAAGGGCGTTAAATTTATTCTTCAAGAAAATATACAAAATTTAATTAGTCCATCTCAGTGGCCTTCTTCTAAAACCCAGATCTGAATGTTATAGACTACTGTATCTGGAGTATACTTCTAACTCATTTGAAAAAACCGTGGTCGTGATACCGTCGATATTGGTGGAACTTCCTCTTGACATTATCCGCAAAGCTACTGCCTCCTTACGCTTACAACTTTGTGTTGAACATTCGAGCAAACAATTGTAAGATCTACGATGAGTGTTCAGTTTGGGCATGAATCATGACAGCTAAATTTCTTTGTGAATTCACTCCTTTTTGACTGGACACCCTGTATATGCCGTACCTCTTCAGGACATAGGCGATCATAGCTCTCTACAACTTCTTATCGCTTGTGGTCCATAAGTTTTTATCATTTTGAAAAGGTTTCGGTTCTTATTTCCGCTATTCATTATTTCTTGCCCTCATTATGTCTCGTGAGGGTTGATTTTTCTAATTTTTTTTATAAATATGTACATTATGCATGAAAGCTCATTTATTCCAAAGAACGAATCTTACTACAGCCTGAATTTCTTATACCATCGAATTACTTTGGTATAACTTCGTGTTCATTCAGAGAACATAAAAAAACAAACAAAAAAAAATATTTACCTTTATCTGTGATATATATTGCTTCCTCTCTGGTTCCTTCTTCATACATGAGGCAGGTATTATTTTCGATGTTGATACCAATACATCTATCGTTTCTGCAACATGTTTGTGCACACGTATTAGCATCCTTTTCAGAAATCACTGAAACGTTCTGACGAATTCTGGTATTGGAAATACATAAATCTAAGAAAAAAAAAACCAAAAATACATAAATCTAAGAAAAACAACAACAAAAAAATACATAAATCTAAGAAAAACAAACAACAAACAACAAAATACATAAATCTAAGAAAAAAACAACAAACAACAAAATACATAAATCTAAGAAAAAAACAATAAAAATAAAAATACTTAAATCTAAAAAAAACAACAACAAAAAACTAAATATATAAAACTAAGAAAAAAACAATATACGTAAATCTAAGAAAAAACAACAAAAAACAAAATACATAAATCTAAAAAAAAAGCTCCAAAAACGAAAATACATAAATCTAAGAAAAAAACAAAATACATAAATCTAAGAAAAAAACTACAAAAAAAAAATACACAGATCTAAGAAAAAAACAACAAAATACATAAATCTAAGAAAAAACAACGAAAAACAAAATACATAAATCTAAGAAAAAAGCAACAGAAACAAAATACATAAATCTAAGAAAAAACAACGACAAAAAAAACGAAAAAAATAACAAACAAACAAAAATTAATTAAAATATAGAATAAAATAATGTATACAAATTCAAGTATTTTTATTTATTTATTTATTACTTTAACCCCTTCCCTGCCAATTATTTTCGGAAAAAAATGTTTCATTTTCAGACATTTTATAATTTGTTTCGGAAGACTAAAATACTAAGACAACTTAAACTACCCGAGCGCTGGCTAGCATCACTACCAGATGTATATGTCGACAATTGGACTCCTATCAACTCTATTTACATTATTCGGACTATTGTCCTCATCTTTGTCGCTCCGGCCTTCTTCAGGTGGTTGGAATGTCGAACCCAAAGTGTGTGAGTTCAATACCAAGTTAAGGCAGTGGAGAACTTGGAGAAGGGAGATAGACAGACTCCTGTAAAGTTCAGAAGGATATAAAAAGAATCAAAATCGACATATAAACACGACTGTAGCTAGTTTTAGAACATTATTTTTGTACGTGTTTATTCGTCCGTGCCTGAAAAAAGACAAATTCATTAAAAACGTATATACACGTCTACGCCAGGAAAGGAGTTAATATTTATATAACTGGTGAGGAATATACTTGTAGTGGTCGAAACATGGATAGGGGTCCACGAATACTAAAAATATCAGAAACAGAACATGTGAACAATGAGGAAGTTTTAATGGAAATAGGAAATAAAAGAACACTTATTCTTACAACCAGAAAGAAACAGCTGACAATTTTGAGGTGTATAACGAGGAAAAAGACCTGGAGAATTTAACACTCTCAGGGAATATTTAATGCAATAGAAGTAGGAAAAACAGTGAATAACAATCTAATGGGGTTATGTAAGCGGTTAGTAAAACAAAGAGATTGTAGAGTTAATAATCAGAAGCAAAGATTCATTAACTTCTATATATAACAGAGATATAGATCCACAGAAAGGTGCTGAGAATAACATGGACAGAACATGTGAGCAGTGAGGATTTTTTTAGAAAAATACGAACTGAAAATAAACTGTTACTTACAATCAGAATAAGACAGCTGAAATCTGAAGGAACATCGCAATAGTTAACGACGCCTTTGAGAAACTAAGCAAAGTATTAAGACACACAAAAATATAATTAAAAAAGAGAGCTACACTGCTTTATAATATCTAATTTGCTATGTGGAATCTGATGCTGGATAATCTCAAAGATAAAGATAATTCTTGATGCAGCACAGATTCGATACAATAGACTAATGATAAGAATATAAAAAAAAAACAGAACATGTTAAAAATAAGGAAGCTTTAAGGAAAATAGGAACTACAGAGAAACTTGTAATTACAATCAGAAAGAGTTGTCATTTCTAGAACGGATAATGAGGAAAGAAGGCGGAGCGAATTTAACATCCATATTATATCAGGTCATCCCATAAGTTCTGTCCGAATTTTAACTTTTTGTTAAAATGAACGAAATTTAAAGAGTATTTTATAATGTCTAATGGAGCTGAACATTATTTTTATGTTTAGATGCATTTAAACTGATGAAATTTAATTTCAGGGAACAATAAAATTAAATTTTGTTTGATTAAAACCCTGCTAACATGGAAGTACCCAAGAATCATTTGAGGCACATAATGCTTTATGAGTTCAAGAAAAGGAAACTCAGCAGCCAAAGCGGCTAGAAACATTCACTCAGTTTATGGAGAGGAATGTGTGAATGAAAGAACTTGCAGAAGATGGTTTGCAAAATTCAGAGGTGGAGATTTCACCCTTGAAGATGAAGATCGAACCGGACGTCCAGTTGAGTTTGATGAAAAGCTTCTTGAAGCAGCCCTTAAAGAAAATCCCGCTTTATCAGTTGAGGAATTGGCAGTGGTTCTCAGTTCAAACCATACAACTGTTCATCGTTATCTTCAACAGCTTGGAAAAGTTCCCAAACTTGGAAAATGGGTGCCTCATGAATTGTCTGAAAACAACCTCAAATCCCGAGTTGACATCTGCTCTTCTCTCCATTCTTGCCAACTTGTTTCACCTTTTTCGGATAGACTTGTGACTGGCGACGAAAAATGGATCTTTTATCGAAATGTTAAGCGTCGTAGACAGTGGCTTGGTAAAGGGGAAGGACCCCAGCCACAGCCGATGGGAAAAAGGTTCTTCTTTCAATCTGGTGGGATCGCCAAGGAATAATCCACTTTGAATTCTTACCACCTAATGCAACAATTAATGCTCAAATATACTGTCAGCAATTAGAGCGTTTGAACCAAGCTTTGAGGAAAAAAAGACCTGCTCTAGTGAATCGAAAAGAGGTGATGTTTCATCAGGACAATGCGAGACCCCACACAGCAAGAATCACGTCACAAAGATCGAAGAACTTGGTTGGGAGAAAATTCCTCATCCACCTTATTCTCCCGAACTTGCTCCTTCAGACTACCATTTGTTTCGTAGCTTACAGAATCATTTCGAAGAAACAGCTTTTGTAACACAGGAAGAGATTAAAACTGATATTTGTGAGTTCTTCGAATCAAAGCCAAAAGAGTTTTACAGCAATGGAATTAGTAAGCTTGTTAATAGATGGAAAGAAATCATAGATAATCAGGGAAAATACATTGTTGATTGAATCTGTAATTAAATGTAACATTTGGTCACTTCAGAACTTATGGGATGACCTGATATGTTGAAGGTAAGAGACGAAGAAAAAAAGCAAAGAGCAAACCTATTTAATGACTTTGTGTGAACGGATCACAAAACAGAGACTAAGAGGGATCGTAAAGTATTAAAAATTATTTAAAGCAACAAACGATATGAATATTTGATGAGCCATGATTGCCATGTTCCTTCGGCTATTCATGACTATTCACACACGTTCCTGGCCTTTGTTTTCTAGTAAAGTTTGTCTTCTTCCCCCTATCTCATAATTCCTGTTCTACCAGCCATTTAAGCTCGTTAGGTAGGTTATACGCTGCTTTTCTCTGTCTTTCTTGCCTTCAATATATCCTGTGAGTGCCAAATTTTCCAAGCCCTCTTTTCTCATTATGTGCCACAGAAATTTCAATTCTCTCTTTTTGATTTTATGTGTTTTTTTTTAATTTCCATTTTCACTAAAAGTCTATCGTTTCGCACATATTCAGTCCATAGTATTCTCAGTATCCTTCTGTAGAATTAAATTTCTCTTACCTCAAGTTTCTTTTGCATCTGTGACGTGATTTTTCAGCATTCACTACTATATAGGAGAAACGATATCACATAACAGTTCAGTATTTGTTTCTCTGTTGCTAACAAACTTTTCATGTTCTTTATTACTTTGCATAGCTTTTGAAAGGCATCTTTCGCTATGATAATACGTTTTGGACTTCACTGTCTCATTTTCCGTCCCGTGTTAAATCATTTCCTAGATATTTACATTGGTGTCTTTATTTGATTTTAGCATTTCTTATGCATTCTTTCTTCTTACAATTTATATTGTCTTTTCGTCCCGCTTTTCTTTAATATCTTCTGTAAGTGATTTTTTTTTCTTTTAGTTTCCTTTCTCTGCCTTTGCATAAGTTTTGCCATTCATTCACACAAAATCATTATTTAGATTGCTCATACTTTTTTTTCTTCTCTTGCATATCTTGTGAATGTAAAATCGCTCCGACTAATTTTTTCCATTATGTGTTCCGGAAATATTCTTTGCAGGATGTTAGAACAATCTAGAAATAATAAGGCAAAGATAGAGGGGAGTCACATTACGTCTGTGAGAAATTGACTGGGGTCGAAATGCCAGATCAGTGGCGATCACATTGCATATCCGTCTTTGAACTTCGTTAAGGACCTCGAGATGAACAATGGGGCACCGGACCATATATGGCAACAGTATTTCATGCATAAAAGAATGATAGATTTGTAGATGTGAAGGATGGACTCTGGTGAGTAAAACCTTCCCGTGTGACACAGAGAACCAACTTTCTTTGCAGTAGATGCAGCTATTGATTCAATGTAGTTGCTCCACAGCAGGTCAGTGGAAAAAGGGGGAACTAGAAAGCCGCAGTGAGACGCTCTCGCGAAGTTGTGTATCACCCATGCTGATAGGAGGCAGGGAAGTTTCCCTATGGTCGGTAAATGAGAACAGTTTCGTTTGAAAACATTGAAATTTACAAGCCTTTTCTTGCCCCAGTTAACCACAGATTGGAGGCCTTTTTCAAGACCAACGGCCAGGTTAACATTATCAGCAAGAAACTAACTGAAGGAAACTGGAAGAGAAACCGTCTAGAAAGACCTTCATTTCACGGTTTGACAGGAATAATTGGATTACATCAAATAATCGTCCTGTAATACCGTATCCCTGAAGCTTACGTAGAAGGCCGACATGGCAAACCCTGTCAAACGCTTTCGAGATATCTAGAGCCACAGCTCGAGCTTCGCCCTTGTTATCAAGAGCTTGGTATACAATTTCAGTTATGGCCTTAACCATGTCCGCGGTAGACCGGGCAAAGCGGAAACTATATTGTTTTTCAGAGTGTAGATCATGGGATGTAAGGTGCTTAACCAGTTCGGCATTGATTAAAGCCTCAAAGACTTTGCTGAAGAGTGATAGGAGACTGATGGGATGGTAGTTAGATGAATCAGAAGGGTCTTCAGAGTTCTTAAAATCAGGGAAATCAGAGGCAGACATCCAGCAGGCTGGAAAGTAAGAATCAGCGAGGCAATAGTTGTATAGTTTGGAGAGAACTGGAGCCATCCCAGGGGCACATATATTTAGAACTACTGCTGGTATCCCGTCACCACTATTTGCTTAATGAGAGTTTAATTTAGAGATGATGGCCAATACCATAGACGGGGTTATGTTCATCTCACTCAGTAGATCCCCAGTTCTAGGGGAAAATCAGGGGTGGGTATACCGGACGCGTCGAATGTTGAGTTGGATGACAATTTCCGAGCAAAGCATTCAGCCTTATCTGCTGTGGTGTTAAGACTTCGGATTGATTGAATAGAGGAGCGATTGAGGATTTGTTGTATTTCAGCACACTCTTGTAGAGCCGCCAATAATTTTTAGAACCAAACTTGTGAGATGCAATACGTTGTTTCATTCTATCAGCAATCAGTAACGTTGCTTCATTACGAGCAGTGGCAGAGATGTCTGTTGCAATCAGACATGTCGCTTCGGTAAAGACTGAAGACGTAATTCCTATAGGCTAAAACGGCTGAGCAAGCAGGTGCGTACTCTCTGGTTTTGAAATTAGCCCGTTCGCCTACACTAAGTCACTTTATATTCTTGTAAAATTTAACTTTTCTTGTCTGTTATAATATTCGTATAAGCTTGTAGTTCTGTTGATAATATTACAAGGGAGATAATAATACAAGGGAGATAATAAAACAAGAAATTATTGAAACTGTTTAATCACATGGATTAATAATACAATAATAGCGAGTACTGTAGTTAGCGCGGCAATGTATACGACACTACGCAGTGATTCTGTTTCTATGACTAGACATCATACTCCTAGTGAGTGTGTGAGTTTATGTTCAACAAAGTGTAGAGAATGTCGATTGTCTTTCTACACAACACTTCATTTTTTAATGTACACCTTCTCTTTTGAATATGTATTTTTCTTCTTTTGGGGTATTTTTTAACTTTTATGTCACCAATTCCGACATTGTATCATAGATAATGCGATTTACCATCTTTCTGAGTTTTCTTTTTTGTTTTGTAAAATCCTGAAGAAAATAACTTCAAAAATTCTTAAAAAAGTTTATTGTTAGTTTCATACTATGCCATTTTTTAAAATTTTTCTTCCAGGTAGAAATTTGTCAAACACCAATTTAATTTTAATATTAAAGCAATATACTTAATAATATAATTATTTCATATTTGTTATAATGCTCGTATCAAGTTATAATTTATGGTTAATATTCTTGGGGAAACAATGGAACAAGAGATTAATGAAGAAAGAATTTAATCACATGGAATAATAATACATTAATATCGAGTACTGTAATTAGCGCGGTAATGTATACGTCACCACGTTGCGACACATTGCGACCCACTTTGCGATTCTTGGTCCTATGAGCTGACGTTCCTCTCATAATGAATGCAAGGGTCTATGTTCAGCAATCTAGTGTAGCGAACGTCGTCCGTCTTTCTATACAACAAATTCATTTTTAAAAATCTCATCCATTCCTGATTTTCCACGGATATCTTTTCTTTATGATCTGTAAATTTTCTTTATGATCTGTAAATTTTCTTTATGATCTGTAAATTTCCACGCCTTGATGGTAAATATAGTGGAGTTATTCCGCGCTGTTTTCTCCGCGGTCTGGAATTCATATTTTCCTTGTCTTAAGCCAGTTGTTAGTCAAGGTGAGAAAGTCCAGTCTACTATGATATTTAAGCTTCAGTTAGGAGAAGAAAAGATGGATTGTCACCCCTTTTAAAAAAGCAAATTAGTGTGAAAATGAATGCAACAGACTAGACTACAACTAGAAAACGTATTAAATTGGTTATAGAAACATATCAATAACAAAACATATTAATAATAAACATATCAATAATAAACATATTAATCTCTCAAATGTTCAAAATATTTGCCCCCGCCACTAACACACTTCTCTTTAAATTCAAAAGTACTACGAAATATAAAAAGTATAAAAATGTACCCAAAGTGTACACAGACTAAGTTCGTAACATTGAAACGATTAAAAAGTCATTAGGTTTATTATGAATCTAAATGAACTTGCTATGTTAAATTGAGGTGTGTGCGGCAATGCAATGAAGAAAAGATCAAGGTCATGAAGATATATAACGTCTGCCTTTGGTCTAAGTGGACGGAGTAGCAAAGGACTACGATACCTGCAAAACATTTATTATTATTATTATTATTTATAAAAAAAAAAAAAATTATAATAAATGTATGACAATAAAAAAATTAGGAAAATACTGCAAAATATTTTAGCGAATCAAATGAATTTTAATATTAAATGAATCCTAGAACTACTATACAAGTAATACTGGTATAATACATAGTGTATATTCACTTTTGCATCCCCTACCTGTATTTACGGGGATGCAGAGAATCGGATATCAGTTATAAGTACTGTTGAATTATGGAGGAATTTTGATAGACAATTGAATAACAGGAAATCTAACTTTATATATAAACGAAACACTCCATCTGTCCAAAGTGACATTTTAGGTCCCTCACCATTTGATTAAAAGTTGATACAAGAAAAAATCTGATATTTCTTACATACCGACTTCGCAGTAAAACTTATGCATCTCTGAGCAATTTTTTTCTTTACAGGTATATTTGTAATTTACAGCACATCTATGATTATTACAGCCGTCGATCCAGTAACTGAAAATGAAAAGAATATAGAAATTATTTACTCTTTTTTTAGCAGCAATAAGGGATCATATATATATATATATATATATATATATATATATATATAAGTAAACCTAAAGAGCCAGACAAACCTACCTAGGTTTCACCTATGCGGATCGTCAGGGTAAACTGGCTAAGAGGTGCTATAAGAACAGAAAATATATAGCCTACAATACAAAAGTGACCAAAATAAAACAATAATAATAGTAACACAACAACTTGTGTTACTGTTATTATTTTTATTTTTGATACCATAGAATGTAATTATTATGGGAGTCAATAATTTTGTACATGTTATTTGTGCAGGAATAGCTTAATTTGATGTTTTTTTCTATTGAAGATCTTATTTAGAGGGTTGCTTTTTTGGAAATGTTTGTTTATTAAGTTCAGAAAAATGTGTCCGATATTATTGTTGGATAACTTACATGTGTGTGTGTGGGTGGGGGTGAACCATATTATTTTTCTTTTTCTATTTTTGTGCTTACAACTCATCTTATCTCCACCAGTGTTATTCATGGGGTTTAAGTAGGATAATTTAAAGCCATTTTTTTGGAGTGGATTGTCGTACAATTCTTTATTTTTATTAAAGATGTTCCTGCTTGATGAAAGCTTACTAATTATGGAGCCGATATTCATGCTTTACGAAGTCTTATGGGTGGTTGGAATCAACTTCAATGTATTTGGGAGTTTCATTTTCTTTATGGTAAGACTATTACTATTCAGGTTAAGTGTGATATCCAGATAATCTACAATTTTGAGGTTAGAAGTAATCTCAATCTTAAATCCAGTAACTTAACGGCTCTAACAATTTTCTTCTGTAATTTTACAGTA